GGGAGGCAGGGGAGGGGCTGAGTTAAAGCTGCCCGGGAGGAAGATGCTGCAAGAAGATGCTTTGAGCCAAGATCGGGGCTTTCTGGAGGGGCCGCAACTGGAAATGGGGAGAGTCAGGATGGAAAGTGACCGGTAACACAGGCTGGAAAGCAACGTCCAGCTTCCAGGGGAAGTGGAAGAGCAGCTCTTCTCATCCAGGCTCCTCTCCTTCCTTCCAGGGACAAAGAGCCAGCGCCTTCCCAAAGTTATCCCGGTTAGGATCTGCCACAGCCTTTGGGGCTGGTTTAACGGGAAAGCCCGAAGTCCCGGCGGTGCGTGAGCTTGGAGGGAGCGCACCCAGCTCCTCTCTGTGGCAGCGGTGTTGGGAGGAGAGGTTCTGCCGTAGCTCCTTTCGCTGGGGAGGGAGGGAAGGAGTTTCCAGCGTGCACAGGGAGCTGCAGCTTTGCTTTGGGGGGCACTTGGGAAGCTTCAGATCTCCTTTTCCTCTTCCCTTTCCCCACGAACGCTCTGGTGTTGGTGGCTCTGCCGCTGCCAGCTGAAACCTGACGACTCTTTGGAGCCTTCTCCTGGCCCGTGCTGCCAGGGAAGAGGCAGGGAATAGCGTGTGCCCTCACAGCTGACATTTGCTCTCCCTGCTGCAGGAAGGGCCGAGTGCTTCCATCCGCTCAGTCCTTCTGGCATTACTTTCCCCCCTTCTTTTCCAGGAGACCTTCTCCCCTCGCAGAACTCCTGAATAAAGCGTCTTTGCCCAAAAGCACGTTCATTTGCACAGAGAAATATTGGGGGTTTGAAGGGAAACGTGTCCCCAGGAGCTGCAGGAGCTTCTCCTGGTGCCTCTGGAGCAGGCTTTGTCTAAAGCAGGATCCGCTGCTGCTGGGGCCACACCGGGTGTCAGGGGACAGGGTAGGGGCTGCTTGTGGGATGTTGGTCCCCAAAAGCTTTGCAGCTTCCCAGCTCTCCCCAACCCCCCCAAAAAGGTGGGATTTGGGTGGGGAAGGGCTCTCCTGCTGGATTTTGGGAGCAGCCATAGGTGTTCCTTGCACAGCATTGGAGGGAGGGTGGATGTTTAGTCTCTTGAGACCAAAGCGTTAAAGCCCTCTTAGGGTGGGAGCTGGTATTTGGCCAGATAAGTCCAGTTTTTCCTTGGGAAAGGTTTTTAATGTTCAACTAAAGGGAACAAAGAAGCTGATTTAACTCCTTCCTTGCACTGCCACCAGCCCAAGGCCTGTAACAGGAGGTGCAGGTGACCTGGCTCTTCCCCAGGGCTCAGTGCTTCGCTCCCAGCCTTCCAAGGGACCCAACCAGCTCTGTCCCCACATACCACCCACCTGGGGCTGGGATGTTCTGGTTTATGTGCTATGGAGTAATCCCTCTTGGCCCTTGTTACGGCTCAAAACAACTGCTGAGAGTCAGGTTTGGGAGCAGTTCCTATTCAATACGTGTCCATAGGCTCTGGGGTGTCACTGATGGGTTTAAATGAATGTTGTTCAGCAAGTTCTTGTTGCCTTTGAGGTATGGGAAGCGTGGCTTGGACCCCCTCCCTCTTCCCAGCCGGCGCCAAGAGTGGCAACACAGCACCCAGAGGGTGATGAGCCCGAGATCGTGCCGATCTGAGCACATATGGAGCTCCCATAGCATCCATCTCCTGTCGGCTGGGAGCCAGGAAGGGGCTTGGGCTGTTGCAGGGCAATGGTTGCTGGGGAAACCAGCAGCATCTTCTGACCTCTGTGGGCATCCCAAGTTCTTGGTGAGGGTTGGCAAGAGTGGCAACACAGCACCCAGAGGGTGATGAGCCCGAGATCGTGCCGATCTGAGCACATATGGAGCTCCCATAGCATCCATCTCCTGTCGGCTGGGAGCCAGGAAGGGGCTTGGGCTGTTGCAGGGCAATGGTTGCTGGGGAAACCAGCAGCATCTTCTGACCTCTGTGGGCATCCCAAGTTCTTGGTGAGGGTTGGGGCTGTGCAGTGCCCAGCACAAAGGGCTCTTGCATCTTGGGGCTTCTCGATGACTTTGGGGTCCATGAGATGTCAGGGGATGTGGGGTTTGAACTGAGAACAGCTCAAAGCTCTTCCTAGGAGAAGGAACTCAAAAGCAACCATGTCCTGTCCCTGTAGTGAATCTGAGTGATCTCTTTGCAGCGACGTCCTTGCCCTGCCCATCTTCAAGCAGGAAGAATCAAGTTTGCCTCCTGAAAACGAGAACAAAATCCTGCCCTTCCAGTACGTGCTGTGCGCGGCCACGTCGCCCGCGGTCAAGCTGCACGATGAGACCCTCACTTACCTGAACCAAGGTGAGAGGAGCCCTGGGAGCCTCGGGTAAACACCCTGGGAAGTGAAACTCTGCCTTTGGGCATTTCCTCTTGGAGATGGAAAGCTTTGGGATAGTGACTGGAATCATAGAGTCATGGAGTGGTTTGTGTTGGAAAGGACCTTAAAGCTCCTCCAGTCCCAACCTATGCCAGCGCCGCAGCACCCTCCCAGGGAAGAGCTTCTGCCTCAGAGCTCATCTCAATCTCCCCTCGGGCAGGTTAAAGCCATTCCCCTCGTCCTCTCCCTCCATCCCTTGCAATGTAATGGAATAGTCAGCTCCATGGAGTAGTAAATCCCACATTGCTCCTGTTTGGAAGTGCCACATCCTTCCCCTTGCTGCCTGTGCTCTGCTTACAGCAGTGGCATCAGTCCTCTGTCGGATTAACCTGAAGGACATCTACAGGGTGCAGGGGGTTAACTGGTGTATCCCTGTGGGGTTCCAGCTGTACCCACTGCTTCCAGGTAGAACTGGAAGACAGGGTTGGTGACCAAAGGCAGGTGAAGTTTGTGTAATAGATTTCTTCCCTGTTCTTGATCTTGGGTTAGTGAAGGTAATTCCTGGGAATTACAGGATTATCTTTTCCTGGAGAGGGGTGTTACAGCTGTGGCTCCTGTGGCTTTATCCCCACCCCCCCACTAAAACACAGCAAGAGGATCCAGTGGCATGTCTGGTGTGGCAGAAAACGATGTCAAACTGCCAGAGGAGGGGCAGCAGCAAAGGTCCATCCCCAGCTAACCTTGAGGGGTTCTTGTCTCCTTCCCCCCAGGGCAGTCCTATGAAATCCGGATGCTGGACAACAGGAAAATTGGGGAGCTGCCAGAGATAAATGGGAAGCTGGTCAAGGTGAGTGGTGAGTGTTCAGGAGGTTTGAGCTGCAACCTTCAACCTTCTGTCCCAAGGGTCTCTCTGACCTTTCTTTTACTGCTTTGGCTTCTTCGTGGAGCCTTCGGGCTCCTCTGCTCCCCTCTTCTCACACTGGAAGTGCCTCGGAGCGTGGAGCCTGTGCTGGGGCAGCTCCAGGCACTGGCTGATTCCCCCCTCTAGAGCATATTCCGGGTGGTGTTCCACGACCGGCGCCTGCAGTACACGGAGCACCAACAGCTGGAGGGCTGGCGCTGGAACCGGCCTGGGGACAGGATCCTGGACATCGGTGAGTCCCCGTGGCAGGGGCTGGGGGACATGGAGGGGCCTCAAGTGCCTCCAGCCGGGCTCCTGCTCCTTTGACGTGAAGGGACAAAGTGCTGCCCTGATTCTGCACTTGGAGAGACGTGGCTGCTTCTTCCAGGTGTCCCCTGTGAAGCTCTTCCTCCTCTTTCTGCTACAAAAGGCAGCTTCTTCTCTCTGTGTGCCCCTACAGATATCCCAATGTCCGTGGGCATCATTGACCCTAGAGCAAACCCAACTCAGCTCAATACCGTGGAGTTCCTTTGGGATCCTTCAAAGAGGACTTCTGTGTTTATCCAGGTAAGAGAGAAGTGGAGAAACTCCTGTTACAGGGGTCTAGGGAAAGCAGTAAGTTTTCCAAGGGGGAAGAAGATGTTTCTTTGAACTTGGAGCACTGAAACAGCAGCCAGATGCTACAGTGGCAGAAAGATGTCAACTAAAATGCACCCTTGCCTCAAGCAACACAGGAGAGCAGCAGTTTGTGCATTAGCAAAGCCCAGGCACAGCTGACTACCAGTAAGTTGGTTTAGACCTTTTGGTGGTGGTTTAGGTCCTGCTGGTTTCATGATTTGGGTCTCCATCATCAGTAGATGCTTCTGCTCATCTCAGCAGCTGCCTGAAACACCTCTGGGTGCTCATCTGAGCAGGCTGCAGCGTGGGGAGGCTGGTGCAGCCCAGCTCTCTGCCCCACTGCTCAGGGCTTGCTTGGACCAGTAAGAGGTTGCAAAACTTGTGGAAGGAATTTCGCTCCACCTCTGCTGTGGCATCCCCTTAACTCCTTCCTGCTGGGGGTTCTTGGTGTGTCCCATCCCACCCCTGGCTTTCACCCTTCTCCCTGGGCTGCCCTGGATGTGAGGCTGTCCTGGCTCCCACAGTGGAAGGGGGAAGCTTGTGGCACAGTTCGTGACCACAGGCTGCTTTCCCTTCCCCAGGTCCACTGCATTAGCACAGAGTTCACCATGAGGAAGCACGGAGGAGAGAAGGGGGTGCCCTTTCGGGTCCAGATCGACACGTTCAAGGAGAATGAGAACGGGGAGTACACGGAGCATCTGCACTCTGCCAGCTGCCAGATCAAGGTCTTCAAGGTACCTCAGCCCGTGGGTGGCTTTTCCCACTAGGAAACAAGCAGGGAGCCAGTCCCAGTTCACGCTGCAGCCCCAGCAAACATGGGTGCAGGACCGTGATGACCAAGGTTGCCTGCAAGAAGGGCCTCTTGGTCCTTCTGGTCTTGCCTTGCTGCCCTCTGTCAATGCCATTGAGGCTCCAAAACCAGTGAGCCAAGAGCAACCTACAGTGAGAACAGGGCTGGTGTTGCCTCTAAAGCCTCCCACATTTAGTCCTGAGTCTTACCAGCTTGGGAGATCCTCCAGGGAGCTTTAGTGCCTGTCTAAACTCCTCCTGTTATTGTCCCCTGCAGCTGATGGTCCATCTGCAGCTGATGGTCCATCTGCACCCAGCCTCTCCAGCAGCACCGGTACCTGGTCCCTGTTCCATCTCACGTGCAGACACCCAAAGCTAGGAGGTGGCAGGGGCTTGGGTGGCTGAGAAGGGTCCTTCATGCTGCCTGGTTGCCTCCATGGCCTCGTCCCTAAACATCTCAGCTGTGGCTCCTCTTCTCCCTCCTGGGGCACTGGGCATGCAGCGGGGCCGGGCGCCTGTGCTGCTGCTGACCTGGCATCTTCTCCCTCCTCTCTCCTCTTTTTGCCTGTTTGGCTGGTAACGTTTTGGAGGCAGGGAGTGGTTCTCAGGGTTTGTTTGGCCTCTGGCTGCTCCCTCAATGCAAACAGCCAAAGTGGGTGGCTGCGGATTGGGAGTGAAGGGATGAGAATGGTTGCAAACAAGCAGCCAGAGGGTGAGAAGCAGCAGCACCTCCTCACCCAGAGCTGTGTGGAAGCTTGTTCAGGTCTCCACTTTGTTGGCCAGAGGAAAAGAGACTGGGACAGTGGGAGATCAGGAGGGTTGTGGCACCCGGCTGTATCTGCAGTCCTAGAGCTTCCCCCTTGGTGCTGTGGGTGCTGCTCAGGGGGCATCTCCCCCAAGACCACATTCCTCCTACTTTTGAGTGTGGGCACAGCCAAGCTTAGGGGGAATTGGGGTTGTTGCAGGAATGGTTCATTCTCCGTGCAGAGTCTCAGCCCCTCTTCCTTTTCCCTCTGTAAAGCACCAAGCGGGTGAGGACGAGGATGTGTCGACCTTTTCCCTGGTCCTTGCATTTCTTGCCCATCTCTTCACCCTTCCATGCTGCTGATCTCACAGGGATTCTCCTTTCCAGCCCAAAGGAGCTGATCGGAAGCAGAAGACAGACAGGGAGAAGATGGAGAAGCGAACACCTCATGAGAAAGAGAAGTACCAGCCTTCCTATGAAACCACAATCCTCACCGAGGTGAGCCCTCACGCAGCACTGGCAGTGCTCTTGTCACCAAACCGGGCTCCTTTTGCCTGCACGTGGCAGGGAACTGGCTCTTCTGCTGCCAAACCTCTGACTCTGTGCTTGAATTTTGTGACTTTGGGCCTTTGGAGATTAAGAATCACTAAACCTGAGCTTTGTGCCAGTCTGTTTGGCCTGGCTTCTTTTGGTCTACTTTAGTCTCTTAATCCTGTTTCATAGTTGGTCAGCAAGTAGCTGTTCAGGTGTGCTGAGCAGAGCAGACGGGTGAGCTTGTTCAGAGCACTCCTGGGATGGATGACTCTGGGTTCTCCTTTCTAGTGTTCTCCTTGGCCAGAGATAACGTACGTCAACAACTCACCATCCCCTGGCTTCAACAGTTCCCACAGCAGCTTTTCCATTGGTGAAGGGTGAGTTTGGAGAGGAGCCTGGCTGGTTGTCACCATCTGCATTGCACAGAAGGTCATGGAATCATGGAATGGGTTGGTTTGGAGGGACCTT